AACCTTGGTGGCGTTTACGATTCGAAGTTATCTAATAGAGCGGAGGTCCGGCAAATACACGAGTCACTGGCTACAGGCCTGCTCGCGATCGAGCTAAGTAGGCTGATCGAAAAGTTCAAGGTCTGGTGTCTCCAATTTATGTTGATTCCAAAGCTCATTTGACCGCTGCTCGTCTACGAAGTGACGATGACTGCAGTGGAGACAATGGAGCACAAAATCAACACAGCCATGAGGAAGTGATTGGGAGCACCGCCTTGTCTGACTGATGTGGCTCTGTATTGTTAACAGGCTAAGCTGGTACTCCCGTTCAAATCAATGACCGAAGAGTTTAAAGTCGGCAAAGTAAGACTCGCCATGATCTTGCGATAGTCTTCAGACCCAACTGTCACTCCTGTTCAGCCCGCTCTAAGGACTGGCCTCGAGTGGAAGATCCTAGATGCGATCGAATCTGCCCAGAGTGCACTAAGATTTCGAGAAGGTATGGTTTATTCTCAAACCGACCGTCGAGGCATAGGGCGCGGGAAAGTCAGTCCAGAGCCACAGCCAAAGAGCGCCGAGATTTTGTAATACAGCAGATCAGGGACACCGAAAACGAGGTTCGGGTCCAGAAAGCCGCGCAACAGTCGCAGCAAGGTCAGTCGATCAGCCTAGAGAGCGCCTTGCCAAGAGTACACACATGGGGTGAGATCTGGCGAAAGGCCCCGCTGCGACTGAGCTGCCTACGATGTATTACCGTCCGGTGTCAACATGGTAAAGTGGAGTGCGGCTAACGACCTGACATGCCCGCTATGCAGAGCTAAACAGAAGCTCGAGCACGTACTGTCCGCGTGCAGGAAAGCCCTAGGTCAAGGCAGGTATATTTGGTGGCCCAACAAGGTGTTGAAAGAGTCAGTGGCCGTTGTGGACCAAGCTAGGATGAGGGCCTATGTGAGGGCCAGTCCTACCGTCGTCTTGTACGCTTCCTTAAGGCTAGGAAGATTCATAAAAGTAAAATCAACAAAGTCGCTTACGCTCAAGAGATTGGGACTGGTTACTTGCGGTTGACCTGCCTGGTCACGAAAGTACCCTGAGTTAATCAGGAAGACTGGCCTGCGACCTGACATAGTCCTATACTCTGCGGAAAAAACGTCAGCTCATCGTTTCCACTTCAATGTACGATGTGATTAAACAACTAGGCTTACGAGGGAATTAACGCAAACGAGCACTAAAACAACTAGGCGAGATTGCTGAGAGGGCCTCGAGCTGGCTCTGGACACAACGGAACGTTGGTCCATCATATCGTGTCCGAAATGTCTGCCAGTGTCCCTCTGCCACCTGCCAACAAAGTCCAACATGTGTCCGGTAAACCAAACGTAAGCTTGCCACTTGGTCGTCCAGGAAAGCTGACTGCTCTAATTATGCTACCGCAACGACTTCCTTTCTCACAGTACCCTTTGCAAAGTCACCAATTTGTCATGTCTCTGTCCGATAACATCCGGTAATACGTGCAGCAGGAGGAAATCAACCCTGAGCCTCATGAACGCAGGCGGGCCCACTCTCTGAAAATGTCTAGGAGCTCGTGGGCCGAAACTTTTGTCCACGAGAGATTACTTCTACTGACGATTGGTAGACTCCTGCTGTACATGCTCCCCTGTGGAGTTTCTTCTTATTCTTATTAGTAGTGTCTCCTGTAGGGCTATGATATTATTCTCGCCCTGCAAATCTGTCGTCATTGTTTTTAGGCTACGTTTGGCTCCTTTGCTTTTAAGATGAATTATCTGCAGATCTAGTTTATTCACTTTATTAGTACTAAATGTATGTGCCTACCTTAGTTTTTGTTTTGGGATTTTATTGATTGCTATCTTTTGCTAATTAGCTAATTATTAAAATATTTAATTAATGACTAACTACACCTACAATCCAGGGCCAGACGGGGTGGTATGGTAGTTGTATGCCGAATTTGTGTAGCAGCATACGAACATATAATCAAGTGTCTAGGATATGACTTAGGCTCGAACGCTGCAACCAAACTCGCACCAAACATTTGTCAACAACGCACGAGCATACTGTTAGGAAAACTCAGCAACGGTTGTCCGTCATATATTTATTCACACAAAAATTCGGGTCTAATAACCCGCAGACATAAATGTTATGAAGCAGCATCATGTATGTCCATACCCTTGATAACATGGAATTAACCTCATTACGCTTACACTCCCCAAAACAGTGCTAGCAGCGCTCAATAATACAGTTTACAGCTGGCTGTCTATCAAGCTCTTGAGCTTACCGCTTCAATTCCTCGGTCGCTCGTAAACACCAGCATTAAGAATAAACAAGCTCTATCTAACTTACAAAGCTGACCTCTGTTGCTATACTCGTAATAAACACTTTTACATCGGCTGACTGAGAACCTACAATCCTTAAGCTCTCAATATGCACACTACAAATCAACCGCGTCGATAAATTCTACGATGACTCCTCTCAGCACACAGCCGATGCCGACATATACGAGATTCCTTCTCGTAAGTAGAATCGCTGCCTTGTTAAGCAGTGAACATGACCTCCACACGCGTATGTCATCCAAGGCAAGTTTTCTCACAGAGGAACACGCAGCTCTTCTCTGCTCGACTCTTGTCGAAGACTTTATCGTCAACTCTGGACTGCTCTGCACTGCTCTGCATTATATACGTGTCTGCGTTCTCTGTTAGTCCTCAGTGATAAGGCTTCCGCACTTATGTAGGTTTTCTCTCATAACAGCCTTTCTATGCACGAACTAGTAATGACTTTTGTCGAGATCTATTTATTGACACCTCGTGAGGCCACTGGTCAACTCCGGTCCTAAGTCAATACTGACTCAAAATACTGACTCAGGCCATGCTGACAGCTTCGGTCCTGTCAACACAGACTCAAGTATTGACTCAGACTGTGTCAACCCCCTCGTGGATTCCCGGTCAACCAAACCTGTATTAAATTAACATAAACAATGTTGATACCCCCAAATCGACACGCATCAATGGGCAGGTGCGATGTGGCAGAGCGTGGGGTTGGATAAGTAATTGTGAGAGTAAAAGGGATTAATGCCATGTAGTGGAAGGTCGGGTAACTGCAGGGCATGGTAGGTTGCCTGGAAGTGCAAGTCATGGGTCGGGAGGATACAGCTGGAGGTGGCTAATAATAAGTAGGGCGAGGTACGTCGGGTCTAGTGGGAGGTGCGTTTAAAGATCGATTGATGCCTTTACCTCCCTCCTCCTTTAGCGTTGTGACTGTACCATTTGTGCTACTCCACCATTCTACCAGCTCCAGGACTTCTTTTCACTTATCTGTTAGCAGTGTATCGGCTCCTTTTGTCACATTTTGGTATTTTTTTTTTCCTCTTGTATCGTCCCTCTTACCTTAAGTTGTCCACTTTTTTCTGTCAGTCTCCTTATTTTTTTCTTTTGTTTGTCCATTTCCTTCCTCTGGTTTTTCATTTCCTTTTCTATCTTGGTACATTTCTCAGTAAGGCCCTGTATTGTCTTTGCCAACCTCTTCCTTTCAGTTTCTTTATTACTCAGTAATCCATATTTTTCCGCTCTGCCGCGAGTAGCCTCTCATTCTAAATATTCTGGTCCTGGTACATACAGGCTGGGTAGGGAGGCCGGCATGCAGGTCGGTCTTCAGCTGTGGCCGTGGGACATGGGCAGGAACGTGAAAAATGGGGTGGGCGGGGAATAGGGTCAGCTGGCTGGGTGTGGTAGAGGGGGAAGGAGTAGGCGGCACGTCAGTGCAGGTCAAAGGAGGGGTGTGTGTAGCAGGGGACGGTTAGATTGTATGGGTTCAGGATTAGACAGCCGTGCCTGTTCGGTAGGGTTTGCCCTAGGTGGAGTGCTGACCTCTCCGTTGTTATATTCAGCAGTTTCTGTGTCCTTTCCTTTTAAGATTTCTCTTTGGTCCGTTCTGGTCCGTTGCTGTTGCTACTCACAATCTGCTTTAGTCCAGTTTCTGTGGTAGCGTTTTCTACCTTGTACCTCTGGTGCTGTCTACATTTGACAATGGCCACAGAGGTGTGCGTCATAATTGACTTCTTCCAGATAATCATCGCCTTCTTCCTCCCTCAGTGCATCCTAGGTATTTTGCACTATGATTCCAATTACAACTGACACAGAGATTATGCTGCAATACTACAACTGTACAAGGTCGGGCACGTGAACTCCTGGTCTACCCATGTCCGTCAAAACATATCGACTTCTAAGTTGCCGACCGGTCAGTTTATCCAAATACGGCTATATTCTGATACGTCGCAGTTAACCACATATTCGCAAGTTCACAGGGCTAAGTCTTATCTGTGTTTGACGTGGACCATTGTATTACTTTTGCAACGTAGATGACTTTCCAGAACCAGTTGTGAAACTGATTTTAAATTCCATTGAGATAAAAACGTTTTCGGGGTGGGGAAACTGTTAGTTCGAAATTTTTATGGCTGTTTTGAAGATCGCCTGGATTTGCCTTAACCGTTTAATGAAACAGTTTAAATAGCCTCTTATTTGCTCTTACAAGGAATGAAAGTAAACACCAAATGCGTCTCACGACAGGATATGGAGACAAACCAATATCTTGTTATTTGATGGGACAATTAAATATGTTCTTAAACATTACACACATGCAGGAACTATTTTCTTGGATTAAATATCTTTTAAAATGATTTATACACGATGATGCCGAGGATGCCGAAGGGCGACATAATGTTATAAATGTAATTCTAAAGAACCATTGGCTTTTACAGTTCAGCTTCATATTTTTAATGACAAACCTGAGTCAGTCTGAGGGTAATAATGTAAACATCTTGCTGCCTATTTTAGCCAGTGTCGATCTGGAAACTCATGTCAACTTTGAAAGAAAATTAAAACGCTCGCTTCCACGAGGATTCTCGTAAATGACCACTGTATGTTCAGCCACTGTGATAATGCAGCCCCGATCCATACCGTTATTTAAATTATCTAGTCATTTATGAAAGCAATTATTTCGTTTTAATCATTTTACAGACTTACCAGACTTGGTTCCAAATCTCCGAGCTGTGGAGGAATCAGTTCGTCTTCAAGATCAACCACTATATTATCTTCGATGCGCTATGGAAGAGAACTGTCTGGCAAGTTCAGCTTATACAATAAGAAATACAAGCCTCAGTGAGTTTAATTATTCATTATTTTTAGTATAGAACTCCAAACAACAAAAGATTGTTTCCCTGTTTCCTATTGTTTGCCCAACCCTTCTGTCTTTCTCTTTGTGTTCACTAGCTAGCTGTTCATGTTAGCTGATAAAGAATCTAGTGCCTGTTTTATTTTCTCGGAAACCCCATACAGAGCATGCACAGCGTCAACATATGCCAACCAACACGCGTCAGACATAAATTTAACCACAACATCTTTTCTTAAGGTCATTTCAAAACGTTCCACCGCTGAGTAGAACCAGCAGGTGAGCTTTCTTACTAAATCTGCGTGTGGTGTTCTCCCACCAGGCGCTAAACTGGTCAAAAAAGCACGCGACGAAAGCCCGAAACCTCCCTCGTGCAGAGCGAAGCAGACGCTTGAGCATCTTCTGTCCGAGTGCAGAAAAACCAAATAAAGTTTTGAAACAGTTGACCAATACTATGGACAAAGCGAGGATTAGCCGCAGGGCGAGGACTAGTCCTAACGCACCCCCCCCCCCCTTTTTGCGCAAGGCTGGGCAAATATCCAAAGGTACATTCAACAATCAATTCGCATACGTTTCATCCACAGTTGACTGTGCGAGGGATTGACAACTGACGATTGACCTGACTGGCTTTGAAAAGTACCCTGAAATAATCCGGAAGACTGGGCTGAGGCACGGCCAGCTCCAGATTTATAAGGCCGTACAGCTCAGTCCCTCTGCGTCCACAGTTTTTATCGAGGAGATGTGTACACAAATTAAACTACAGTTTCACTATTTTTGACATATTTTTTAGAACTATACGTCATTTTTAAGGTAAATAAGTGTGCTAATTAAATATAACAATAAAGGCTCTTACAGACAAACAAAAATGCTTTTGCTACAGTCATCATGAACATAAACATAAATAACGCTTACATGTAAACTAAAAGGTGTTCCAGCAAAAGTAAAGAAATATCAGTGCTAACTCTTTGATTCTGTGAGGGTATTGTTGCATCAGAGGAGCGGGGGGGGGGGGGGGGGGGAGGGGTGACATTTGTACTTTATCAAATTTAGCGCATAAAAATACTGCTATGAAACATACACATGACATACTTAACACAAATATAAATGATTGATGGTTTTTATTATTATCAGTAGACTACTAGAACATATAATTATACTGTTATTTATTAATTAGTAAACAAGCACAATCAGTATGAAATTTATATGTGCAATACTTTTTTCACCCAGAGTAATTTTTTGGTAACAAATATACATAAAAAGTGGATGAACAACCAGAAGTTTCCGCAAGCGTTTACAGCCAGTGTTCGCGAAGCAAAGCAAAAGCCAGTTTACAAAAATTAACACAGACCGTACAACTGCAAATATGCAAAAGAAGTTGGTGAACAACCAGAAGTTTCCACAAGAGTTTACAGCCAGTGTTCGCGAAGCAAAGCAAAAAACAGTTTACAAAAATTAACACAGACCGTACAACTGCAAATATGCAAAAGAAGTGGATAAGCAACCTGAAGTTTCCGCAAGAGTTTAAAGCCAGTGTTCGCGAAGCAAAGCAAAAGCCAGTTTACAAAAATTAACACAGACCGTACAACTGCAAATATGCAAAAGAAGTGGATGAACAACCAGAAGTTTCCACAAGAGTTTACAGCCAGTGTTCGCGAAGCAAAGCAAAAGCCAGTTTACAAAAATTAACACAGACCGTACAACTGCAAATATGTAAAAGAAGTGGATGAGCAACCAAAAGTTTCCGCAAGAGTTTAAAGCCAGTGTTCACGAAGCAAAGCAAAAACCAGTTTACATAAATTAATACAGACCGTACAACTGCAAATATGCATAAGAAGTCGATGAGCAACCAGAAGTTTCTGCAAGAGTTTACAGCCAGTGTTCACGAAGCAAAGCAAAAGCCAGTTTACAAAAATTAACACAGACCGTACAACTGCAAATATGCAAAAGAAGTGGATGAACAACCAGAAGTTTCCGCAAGAGTTTACAGCCAGTGTTCGCGAAGCAAAGCAAAAGCCAGTTTACACAAATTAACACAGACCGTACAACTGCAAATATGTAAAAGAAGTGGATGAGCAACCAAAAGTTTCCGCAAGAGTTTACAGCCAGTGTTCGCGAAGCATAAGTCAAATGGTTAAGGATTAATATTATCAGTGTTCTGCTACAACATATAATTATACTGTTAGTCAACAATTAGTAAAGAGGCAAAGAGTGACTTGCTGTGAGAGGTTAGTTGGTAAATTAAATATTATTTTAATCCACTTACCTAGAGCTCCGAAATATCTTGACACAATTTATCCACAGTGTGGTTGCACCATTTATGCACAGTCAATATGAAAGCAATAGTTTTCTTCTAACACAAGATAGTTTGCACCTGACAACTGTCGATATTCTCCAGATATGGCTTCTAAATTACCTGTTTGTATTTTCCCTAAAAGTAAAATTTCTACATTCAAAGTAGAAAAGTTACAAACAGCCAGTTCCCCAAACTCCGAACTACTGACTAGAAACAGTGACACACACATCACAAAACGACTGTCTCCCGTAAATTAAAATTGCTGTAATCTAACAACAAAGTATGAAAATCTTGTATATCCACTTTACAATATCCGCTTGCCGATTTGTAATACGAATGCAATTAGAACACAGAAGTTTGTAAGCATATTATATTGTCACACAATGCAACATGGAAACACTTCAAGTAACCCATTTTCAAGCTGACTCAGTCAAAATGTACCGTGATTCAGTTGTCAGCACCAATAGAAATAGCACAAGATGGGCGTGGCTGACGCTAGACATAGTCTTGTACTCGGCGGCAGAGCGTCAGCTCATACTGATACGAGTCACAAATCAATGATCAACGCATGTACAAGCGCGAGAAGTAGAGTTATCTGGTTGTTAATCTGAGGAGTGGTGAGGCAAGGCCGTCTTCTATATTGGCTGGGGCGCTAATGACGTCCGCTTTACATGACGACACCACCTCGTTTTCACTGGGACAGTACTGTTTTTTTTTTCGGTTTGTCCTGGCCATTCACTGAGCAACCCCCCCCCCCCCCCCCTAACCCCCCAATTATAGGAATGAGCTCGAGAATATAACATGTATATAGGTATATACACACATATACAAACTAAAAGGGAAAATATATAGATATAACAGACAGATCTTCACTACACAAAATAAACCAGTAAAATAAAGGCAAAACAATCAAACTAGAGAATAGCATTTTATTATTAAAAAATTAAATAATTGATTAGTATAGCTTCTGTGGCCTTAGCGTTTCGGAAGTGCTTCGTAATGGGGAAAGGGGTGCCGGGTTCTATCCCAGTTGTAGACCTTGAGCCTTGCGTTGGTTTCGACAGTGGTATCGAGAAGCCGACCGTCCAGGAAATACTTGACGTAAATTTGCCTAGAAAAACCACAACAGCTAAAATATGCTGGGGGTTGGTTCTGCAACGTCCTGTAAAGGATACACAACTTACTTATTTAACTTATACAGTTGATAGGCTTATATAATCTCATGTTCTTAGAATATATGAGTTCCCTAATAAAAAGTAATAACATTAAATTAAAGAATTTTTTTGTTGTTGAAGTTTTTTTTTTTTTTGGGGGGGGGGGGGGGGGGGGGGGGGGGAGGAGCTGACTTTCTTCGGGTGAAAATAAAATGAAAAGAAGCTGGGACAAAACTAATATTAAGCCATATTTTTTTTTAAAGGGTATGATTTTCTGCCCTTATATGTTAATATAAAATAGCGATAATTCAAGATAATGCTCGCTCAGAGGATTTGATCATTTACACAGATGGTTCAGTGTCAAGAGGCAAAAAGAAGTGCTTGGGGCTTCTTAGCAAAAGTTAATGGTCGACTTTTGGTGCAGGAGAGCCTAGCATATGATACCACAACATCCAGCTTAAGAATGGAGGTGGAGGCGGTCACTGCAGCTTTCCGCTGGCTAGAGAACACAACACAACACACACACATCGTGATTGTAACTGATTCAGAAAGCATCCTGAGGACGATCAGAACAGGTATGCTTCGTGCAGAGCGGCATGCTTCGCTGCGGAGGACACGGGTGAGGAGTATTGTCTGGATTTTTTCACCGGAGTGTTGGGAAATGAACAGGCGGACAGATTGGCTGGCTCTGCACAACTTGGTGGAATACTGATACATGATAGGGCAGACGTGGTTAGTGCCTTGTGGGAGAGCGTGTACAGTTCGGAGGAGCGGATGGATCACCACAGTCTGGTGAGATTGGTGCAACGGGGAGTGACGAGGAATTTCTGGCAGATGCTCAAGGCTCAGAGGAAAGGCAAGACGGACATTTAATCAGAATGCTACTGGCACCATTAGTATCGGAACTCTTCGCTGGCTGATAAAGATGGGGACGGAGCGCTTATGGTAATGCCCCGAGTGCTGTGATGCCGGTTCTTGAATCAAATCCAATCTATTATAAAATAGCGAAAAATCTTTTCATATTGGTAAGCTTATTTGTTGTCCTGCGTAGCATTTCGCAAAATGTATACTATCGTACGCATGTAGATAGAAGGACAATAAGTCATATTTAGGTTAAGGACGAGGTACAACTCACTTTGACAATACATGTTAAAGTTTTGTTCGGTGTAGATGGGTCCATGCAACTTGCTATCAGAAAATGCTGATGCACCGACACTCTAAACTATATACTGCTAACAGAGAAGGTCAAAGCTAAATCAAGACAAAGCTGAATGTTACAAAGAGAATCTGGCCTGCACGATAGCTTTCTTCAAGGCTACCTGATATAAATTTGCTGACAGAAGGATTGAAGCAGTAGTAGTAGCAGCAGCAGTAGTAGTATGAGATGCATTTACAGCTCTGCCGTAATTATAAAACCAGATACATTTGTTTTTCTACGCTGATATTAATAACCAGTTAAAATAAACCATAACACATGTGTATGTTATGTTTCCAGCCTGGAGAAATACTATGAGGCGACTCTTGCGCTTTTCCACCGTTGTTCATAACAGAGGTATGGCAGATTTTAGACCATACAGGCCTAGAGGACAGTGGGAATGGCACGCCTGTCATATGTAAGTTGTCAACGTCATTCGAAATGCTAATTAACATAACATTGTTATACTGTGTGCATGTATAATGTTTCTATCGTCATGAATGTAGCTTCTCTGTAAATGCACTCATGCTTTAATGTCTCATCCTTTAGGAGCGGCTACTGTGTTGGTAACTGTTGTGGCTGCATTTTAAAGAGATAACCCAACCATTTGATTTTCCTCCTAATAAATTTGATGCAAGTCCTTGTTCCCATTCTGTCGGATCGTATCATTTATTACTCCATTTCTGATGGCTTAGCTGGCAGTTTTTTTCCTGTATCTCTGGCAGTTTTTCTCATTTATCTCATCTCACAGGTTCTAATTTTAAAAATATTATTATTATACATCTGTCCATTATTATCACTTGAAGCAAATTGATGATATGAATATGTTTATATTATATTTCTTACGTTCATACCTATATTTGAATATCGTTACAACTTTATAAGTTGGCAAAAAGGTCTACTAGCCCTTTGTGTCTTTTTATAATTATCAGTCTATTCTACCTTCCTCTGAGAATGTACTTTCTAAATCATTAACAATCATCATCATCTTTAACTTCTACCGCTAAGTGCCGAGGGGCAGAACAGTTTGCGATTCATTGCTTGACAGACAGCAATGGCAACTGTCACTCCGTATGTTTTATGCCATCGGTCCATTTCTAATAGGTCGACCTCTTGCGTTCACTTCAGATCGTTTCATGTGTAGCGCCTTCGGTGGTAGTTATTCCAGCTGCATTCTTACCAGATAAGTAAACCATTTAATCTTATGTTTCTTAATAAATTTGCTGCTTGTGTTGTTCCCACAGTCTGTCTAATAATATAATTTCTAACTTTGTCTCCGATGGTTCAATTGGCGTCTTTTCTCATGCATCTCATTTCACATGTGTCAATTTTATGTAGGTTAGCCTTTGATAACGTCCAAGCCTGGTACTGGTAGCACAGTGTTGGTTTGAATATGCTGTTTATAATATGTTTCTGAGCGCTCATAATTAAGTTTAGATGTCTTAATAACGGTGTCACTCAAGCAAAAGAATTGTGAAAAGGTGTAAAATACCTACATCATGGTGGGAGCAATGGCCGAGTCACTGAGAAAACATTATTACGATCCGAGTCTACCAGGTGTGTATAGTGGTTCTGTCGTCCTAAAACGCCATACAAAAATCAAGACTAAAGATGTCAAAGAATGGCTGTCATCAAGAAACGTATACTCTGCATAAACCGATCCGTCGACGTTTCAAGGGACGTCTGATTACAAATGGTAGCATCAACCAATAATTCAAAGCTGATCTGATAGACATGAGATCGTTACGAAAAGACAACAATGGGATGTCGTACTTAGTCACTTGTATAGACGTGTTCAGTAAATATGCCTTGGCGTTCCCCACAAAGAACAAAACTGGAAAAGCGTTAGTGGGGGTAGTAAGTGAAATATTTGTCGAGCAGAAACCTATCAACTGGTATTTAGACAAAGGGTCATATTTTGTCAACAAACCCTTTCTTAAGTTTCCTAAAGACTAGGGGGTGTTCATTTTTTCAAGACAGAAAACGAAGATGTGAAAATTGTGGTAGTAGAAAGATTCAACCGCACATTGAAAGCAATGATTTTTTCACTTAAAAAACAAAAACAAGTAAAGTTATATTGATGGGTTGACTAGTCTTTTGCGAAATTACAATCATTCCTTTCACCGGAGTATTCGTATGGCACCAGTCCGAGTTAAATATATATATATATATATATATATATATATATATATATATATATATATATATATATATATATATATATATATATATATCATTGACGTGTAGACAGCAGAGCATGTACTCCAGGACTGCACCGATTTTGACACATTAAGGCAAACCTTTTGGCCAGAAAGAACAACAATGGAACGTAAACTCTATGGACCACTGAATGAACTAACAACGACAGTGAAATTTATACAAGAAACAAACTGCTGATATAGACAACTTATTTCAGGCGAACGAAAGAAGAAGAAGAAGAATTGACGTGTCATTGTTCAACTTGACTTACAGACGATTAGCGATCAGGGGGAGAAACTGTGGATTGTTCTCTTGTCTAGCTGTTTGTTCTACCTTTTACCGAACCTGAAAATAGAGACCACCTCAAAACAACTATGAGATTTTACGTCACGCTGCCTAGCAACACCTTACTGAAAATATTTCCCGACAATCAACCACGTCACTCTTTTGTCAGACTGCCACAAAACATCAAATTAAGTTCACAGTACGAAGTCGGTCTCGTAGAGATTGTTTTCCAACAGTTATTTCAATATTCTAGAGGATGAAATAGAGTACATCTCACCCACAGATAGTTGCGAAGGAGTACTGAAAATTAAATAACCAGCCGATGTTTACAAATCAGGTGAAGGTTTCATCGACACTTTTATTCTCTTAGCTATAGAAATTGAGACTGGCGGTGATGCAACAATTAAAATACATTACAACAAGTATGCGAACATCCCCGTCTTCAAACTTTACGAAAAGGGAGCTGAATCCAGAGTCAGCGATCTCTTGTGCTCTGTTTTAAGACTGCCAGCTGTGTGTGCAACAAACACTGAAGCACCACTAGTCGTAAAGTATGGGGTAAATATCAGTGACTTGAGTAACGTACGTGTACGTCTACTGTGATTTCGTAGCCTCAAGACCAGTTGGTGATGTCATGGTTTCTTTACTGCGCACCAGCCCTATAATAGATTAAAATGTGTCCTTCGTGTTTCGAATTTACGACAAGCGGCATCTTCGTATCAATGTGTAGTTTTTCTTTTGACACCATGAAAATCATTTTAACCACCGACATATTCAGGAGTAAAACTTCAGTTGGTGACGTTACATTTTAGAACCCGGAGACATTTGAATCTATAATAATGGTGAGACACGTTCCGTTGCTTCAAAGTCCTGAAGTTTATGAAGACTGTTGTTGCCACCAAGTGGGGCATGGCTTGCCAGTATTTATCGGTGGGAGAAGTTAACGTGGACGGGATTTGGGAAGTTTCTATAGCAGTTTAGGTCGCATGGTTCTACCTTGATTAAAGACAGGTGGTAACACACTGCTAAAAGATGGTGTTGGTACCATTTTACCAGTTTGAAATGCCCCGAGCAGGGGCGTTGTCTTTAGAAATTAAGTTCGCCACCTTTCGCCACCTCTGCACTTAAAAGTTTAAGTCTGTGCAGAACAAGACACTGTGCTCAAAATGTCCAAGACGCATCAACTACTACCAGACAACACCTAAGACCCTGAACACACAGCAGATAAGCCAAATACTCTTATCTGACCTTATCTACAGTGCACACCTCGTACAAGTATTGGCCTGTGATGAACTACCTACACAGTTCTACAACAACCAGACAGTGGCTTTTGTCATCAACACGAACACTAGCTACTAACTGGGTTCACAATGGTGAACGCTTCATAACAAAACAAAACTGACACTGAATCGCCTAGAATTTTAACAATTGCTTGACCTAAAGACGAAGATTCTGACAGAGTTTGGTTGACAGGAAATGCTAACCAGTCATTGTTATCAGCCTACACATACAATTACGAACCGTATGCTGACATCAAAGAAAAGATCCCCATCAACAACAACCCAGACGATGTATTTACCCATCAGGCTGAGAGTGCTGACAACAACCGACCTATTACCAACCTAGATTAGGCTGCTGAGAGAAGACGTCTACGCCGACTTTGATTTCATAAATAAAAGAATATAACATTGAAACCTTTGTGGTGTGTCTATATTGGTGTCTTTTGTTAAGTGTGAATAACTGTTGCATATAAATGAATAAATTTCGATTCGTCTCTCTCTCTCTCTCTCTCTCTCTATATATATATATATATATATATATATATATATATATATATATATATATATATATATATATATATATATATATAAAGACGCGCGCTCGCGTCGATTTGTTTCTATTGTAAAGTATGAATAACTGTTTCTTTGTTAATTGTATTTTTTTAACCACATCTATGTACCTCTAGTCCTAAATATCAATGTTTGTACACCTGTCTATGCGTTTCTTATGTGCATCTAACTATTCACCTTTAAATACGAAGAACCGACAAAACAGAAATGACCAGTGGATTACAAGAAATTATGTTACCTAATTTTTAAGAAAACTACGGTTTTAAAAAAAAAAGGTCAAGAAGGCATCACTGATGTAATGGTTGACCACTTTCACATAGTTTACTATAAAACATATATCCTTGTACACCAAGCCACCCTTCTCCTTCTACTATATACACCCTAAAACATCATTCTGTACTACTCACTCCTACTCAACACCGCCTTTAAAAACTCATATGTCAAGCCTCATATCCCTCTAATTTTTTACTTTTACATAGTAACATATATATCCCCCGCCATCATTACTGTTTTTTTTTCTCATACTAACCCCTAAAACGGCCTCAGCTCCATCTGCCTCCAATCAGCGCTGACCCTGTTAAACCCCTGTCGTGAAATGATAAGTCATTACGCATTAGTCTGTAAGACTGGTAACCTAACTTACCTGTAATCGGCACAAAATTCAAACTTGGACTCGTCCGGAAAGATATAGTCCCTTATATCTATATATATAGGCCTTTATTAGACAACATTATTATGTCTACCTTTTCTGGTTGCTTTAACTAAACTCCACTTTTAAATGTATATATCTTTGATATATATTAGAGGAGTTATTTGAGGTTTCTTAGAAACCGATGCACTCCTTGCCCATGTATACTAGGTACTTCTTTTTTTACCAACGCCTAAAGCGTCTAAGTGACGCCATTCTCTTTGCCAGCTTCCTAGCGTCCAGACGTGTCAATCGATGCCTGTATAATTTCAATTTCATAAGGCAATCTGGAATGTCTCAGACTTTTCATATGCTTGGGTAAGTTAATTATAGTTTACGAGTACCTAAAATGATGTCTGTTAAAGTAGTCACTGCTGTAGAGAGAACAGTATCGGC